GTGGGGGTGGGGGTAGGGGTGAGAGAGGGGGATTGAAGGCGACAGTGGGAGGGGGATGAGGCAGACAAGGGGGAGGGATCGTGCGGGAGGCCGCGTTGAAGCAGGGGGGGAAGATGTGGGGGGAAGGGTGCAGGTGGGCGGCTCGCCGAGAAAAGGTGCAGGGGCAGCCGGCCCCGGCCGCTTCCAGGCAGGTCGTGCCGAGTCAGAGGATACTTCAGTCAGAGCGGTACCCACGTGCGAACCCAGGCCCCCACCAAACACGCGCACGCACACAGATCCCGTTCAAGGGCGGCTCCGCCTGGCGCGGGCGCGTGAGGGCCGCGCTGGGGGACGCGCTCGCGCGACTGGGGACCGACGAGGCCGCGGCCGCGGTGCGCGAGCTGCGCCTGGAGGACCGCGCCGCGGCGGCGGCGCGGGCGGCGGAGGACGCGCGCGCGGCCGAGGAGGCGCAGGCGGCCGGGGCCGCCGAGCTGTTCAAGGGCGGCGGCGGCAGCGGCGGCAAGGGGAGAAAGAGCGAGGGCAAGGGCCGCGGGCGCAAGAGGCGGTCGGGCGCCGCGGAAGATGAGGAGGCACGGGAGGAGGGCGGCAAGCAGGAGGAGGAGCGGGAGGAGGAGGCCGAGGGCGGCCGGCGCCGCAGCCGCGGGGGCGGGGGCAAGCGGTCGAGGAAGGCCGCGGCGGCGCCGGCGAGGCGCCGGGGCGCGCTGGCAGAGACGGAAAGCGGTGACGAAGGCAGCGGCGAGGCGGTCGCTGGCGGAATTGAGAGGGTGGCAGGAACTGCGGAGGGCGGAGCAGAGGGGTCGGACGGGGATATGCAGGCCGTGGCGACGACCAGCGGCAGGAGCAGCGGCAGCGGCGGCGGCGGGGCCGCGCCGTCCGCCAGCGAGTCCGAGCCGCTGGCGGCGGCCGGGCCTCGCAGCGCCGGCGCCGGCGCTCGCGTCGGCGGCGTGAGGGCGTCGTCAGATGACGACAGCGGCGACGATGAGATCAGCAGAGGGGGTGGGCCTCTGAGCGGCGCGGGGCCGCCGCCGCCTGACTCGGAAGCGCTGCTGGCAGTACCGCCCGACTCAGAGCCGTTGTTTGTGCTAGAGGGCCGCGGCGGCAGCGGCGGCGGCGGCGGCGGCGCGCCCCGCGCGCAGGCTCCCAGCCGGCTAGGGCCTGGCGGTGGCGCGGGCCGGGAGGGCAGGGCAGAGGCGGGGGCGGCCGGGCTGCAGCACGTCGCGCGGCAGCGGCTGTCGGCATCAAAGCGCGGCGTGCTCGAGGAGATCACGCGGCGGCGGCAGCCGCAGGACGCGCCGCCCGGCGGCGACGGGCGAAAGCGGGCGGCGGGCGGGGCGGGGGC